AGTTAACGTTAACTTAACTGTCTGTGAAAGAGCCAGGTAACCAGTCTTTGAATTACTTACCCGGGAAACAGGCCTGGAGCTACATGAATTTGAGCGACTTTGTAGAATTTTTCAAGTCAGTTCCTTAAATTCTTGAAACGTGTTTGGTAACATCGTTTCCTTTGCCAACAATTCCCTGACAGTATGACTGCCCCAAATAAACATGAAAAACAGGAAGACAAAACACTAAGCCTCCTGGGTCATATGTTCCGGAAATCAGATTGTGCATTTAGTGTTGCTGGGGACGGTTAGAAGTTCTATTGCTGCTCCAGACCATAAGCTGTTCAAAGCAAAAGTGCTTCCCTGAGGACCAGAGAATTCTTCCTTTTTTAAATAAGTGCTAAATTTACCATGTTTTTTGTCATAGATGTCATTTTAATTCAGTCATAACCAAAAGAGGAGTGTTTCCTTAGTTCTTTTGTAAGCAGAATTGAACTTCTTGATGACGACGTTAGTATGATTAAAACTTGATTTGGCTGTGAAGAGGAGATGCTTAAATTATTGTATTGGGAATTTTAATTTCACTTTCTAATGGATTTTGTGATTTCATTTTACTAGTTTAGTAATGTACAAGTATAGTGTTTTATTAATTATCATTTAAAAATTTCTTTTGTTTAATTTTTTCTCTAATCTAAATGATATTTAATATGTTTATTTTTCAGGAATTACCTAACTCTGTCTTTCTGGTGATGGAGGTAGGTAGTATACAAGCTTCTGTTTAATTTATTTCAAACTCCTTTTGATTAATATACACTTTAAAGTTGACAATAGATTATTGTTTGAAATTTTGAATTAATAAAACAGTGATCTGTATTCCACTTTTTTCTTTTTTTTAAAACTTCTTCCTACACAGTAGATTCTAATTTATTAGGAATATAAAATTAAAGAATTTTGATTTTGTAAATATTATGTTTTTGGACTAGATTTACATTATACACAAATGATTTTTAAATTAAAATTAGCTGAGAATGGATTGAATTAATCTTGAATCAGTGTCCTTATTTTAATTGCTTTTTCTTTTATATATCAGTATTGCAATGGTGGAGACCTGGCAGATTATTTGCAAGGTAATTTTATGTGTGTGTCAATGTTCAATAAAGATAATACTGAAGTCTATTCAGTCTTGCACTTATATAGAAACATTCAGTAAATATTTGTGTGTTTGTTTAACTTGTAGTCACCTTGCTGACCAACTGTTGTGGTTTTATTCCTAAACTTTACTCGTGTATAAGTACCTATTTTTTTTATGCCTCTCTCTGACTGTGTTTGAGAGATGGGTCCTCTCCCCAGAGGAGAAGAAACTAAATAGAATTTCTTTCTTTCAAAAGTCTTGACTTGGTTGCCAGCAGTGAACCTTTAGTTCTTTCATTTATTTCAAAAGAAAAAAAAAATTTTTTTTTTGCAGCTGGCCAGCATTGGGATCAAAATTTAAAAATCATTGGGCCGGCCCGGTGGCGCACTGGATAGTGCGCCGCTTGGGAAGCGCGGCGGCNCTGAGAATGGATTGAATTAATCTTGAATCAGTGTCCTTATTTTAATTGCTTTTTCTTTTATTTATCAGTATTGCAATGGTGGAGACCTGGCAGATTATTTGCAAGGTAATTTTATGTGTATGTCAATGTTCAATAAAGATAATACTGAAGTCTATTCAGTCTTGCACTTATATAGAAACATTCAGTAAATATTTGTGTGTTTGTTTAACTTGTAGTCACCTTGCTGACCAACTGTTGTGGTTTTATTCCTAAACTTTACTCGTGTATAAGTACCTATTTTTTTTATGCCTCTCTCTGACTGTGTTTGAGAGATGGGTCCTCTCCCCAGAGGAGAAGAAACTAAATAGAATTTCTTTCTTTCAAAAGTCTTGACTTGGTTGCCAGCAGTGAACCTTTAGTTCTTTCATTTATTTCAAAAGAAAAAAAAATTTTTTTTTTTGCAGCTGGCCAGCATTGGGATCAAAATTTAAAAATCATAGTGGAAGAATGAATCCAAGAATATATTTTCGTGAATATTTCTTTTAATCAAAAAAAAAAAAAAAAAACCAACAAAAAACTAAAAAAATTGTAAGGGATTAAAGGTAACATTGAAATTATTTTGTGGCACGGAAGTAAGATTTTAGTACTAGATGGTACATGAAATTCTGTACCCTGAGTGCGTACATGTAGGATATGAAGCATTTAGATCAAATTGTGTTCCTCCAAAGTATTTTCTTTTAATGATGCTAGATGAGGTCAGCCTCTACTTGTTCACTCCTTAAATGATGCAAATGAAATATGCACAAAGATACTAAAAGTTAATATGTTCAGCCTTTAAATAGATCACAGCAATTGGTGGTAAAAGTACTAAGACCTCAATGGCTGTACACACAAAGGCTATGGGTAGTTTACAAAAAAAAAATATATTGAAAATATTCAATTTGAGACTTAAATATTTATTTATTTATTTATTTAGACACAATGTATGTTTATTTTTTATTTTTTTGTTTATTATTTATTTATTTATTTTTATTGAATCATAATTATTTATAAATATTTTTGGGATTCAATGTTGACATTTGTTGGTCACATTAATATTACTAGTATGTATATTGTTACAAGTTGTACTTATTCTTTATTGTCCAATCTCTCTCTATCTCCCCCTCCCTCCCCCCTCCCCCCACTAATTACCTTAGATTTCTTCTGTCCTTCTGATAGAATAATGGTTACTCTGTTGATTTGTTGCCTAGATGATCTGTCCAACGCTGAGAGGGGTATTCAGGTCCCCCAATATTATCATAGAGCAGATGCTTTTATCAGCACTGCACTCTCCCGAGTGAGCCACAGGCCGGCCGGCCCTAGCAGATGCTTTTAATGTCACTCTGAAATGGGTTTTGTGGAGAGAGACATCCTCTTCTTTTCTTTTTCCATGCTGGTGTCTCTCCTTGTGTCAGTGCACTCCAGTGGCTGGTGGACCATCTGTGTGGTGGTCGTGATGTCTAGCCACTTTTGTGGCAGCCGTGGTTCCTGTGGTGCCTGTTATTGGGCCAGCCACACGGAGGTGATGTTTTTGGTATGCTCCTTGGCACTGGCGGTGTTCCTGGTTGGGGGGAGGTCCAGTCCCTGGCTCCATACCCTGGGCCCCTAGTTGGGGCCCTGAGGTGCTGGTGGTGGAGACTTAAATATTTAAAATGTAGGATGTCATTGACATTCAGAAGCTGTGTAGAGAACAATATAAAGAACACAGGTATATACCCTCCCCAGTTTAAAAAGGAATTGTAAGTACAACTGAAGCTCCCTGTAAGTTCCTTTGCAGTCCATTCTTCTCCCTTCCCTAGAGACAACCATTGTTCTGAATTTGGCGGTTTAAGAAATCTGTCAATTTAATAAAAAAAATGTTTTAAAATGTCATTTATTAATGGGCAGAATACAGTGAGACAGGCACTTTAATTCACTGCTGGTGGAAAGGAGCTGAAACCAGACTCTGCTGTGCCTACTCGGCCATCTCTGATCTGTGTATTCCTTGAGGTCCTTAGTGTTCCTAGTGAAAGTGCCTTTCCACCGGGGTCAGACTGAGTGGCACTTACAGCTTAGAGCCCTCATTAGAATATCAGTTTCCATCATTAACAGTAGTATTCACTTTTATAAGCACTCTTACTTGTGTAGCAGATTTGAGTTAATTAAGGTG